GATTTAAGTTAATAAACCTCTACCTATGCATAATCCACTGGTCAAAGTTATCTTAGTGGGCCCATTGACCATTTTGACCCAATGGTCAAAAGTTCAAAATCAAATACTGTAAGTGGGAAATTATTTCATTTAGAGCCTTCAGTTTTTACTTATTTCCGATTTTAATTCCTTTTTTTCTTATGCCCAGAGTTTCTTGTAACCTTGCACAGAACGTGTTTGATTAAAGTCCTCTGAGAGTAGATCTTTCTTATAGTGGACGAAATTTTCCGACTTTCGAAGCCTTTTTGAATCGCGTGGCTGCTTTCAATTTCATCTTTCCGGTTTCGAATTGACAAGTAAGTGATGATTTTTCCTACTCAAGTTCTTCTTCTTCCATGTTATCTTCCTCTGTCTCGCTTACTTGCCTTAACAAGGTTCACGATTTCTCGACCCTTTTTTATCAGCGATTGTCAGTGTAGTCGAGACCCGAAAGTTTAATGGAAATTAAATTTTCAATTCAAAATTTTGAAAATTGAAGAGCGGGAGAGTGCAAATCAGCTTTCGCCTATCTCCATTGATTGTTAGCAAAGCTCTTCGGGAGGGAATAAAATGGCTCCAGGGGTTCGTCAACTTACCGTACTCGGAAAGTTCAAACCTTTCGGTCTAATCGCCGAAGCTACCGACGATAAACCTCCGGATGATAACTTTGCTGATTCCTACCAGTATTTACTCTTCGATCCTGAGCTCACTGGTGAGCGAGATGATGCTGATGGAAATGAAGCTAACTTCTCGAGGCAGAGAGAGCACGAGCTCTTCATCAGAGACAACCGGTAAGTCATCGAATTTGAGTTTCAGCTGGTGTATACAATTTTCTGATTACTCTATAATTTGACATTGTTAGTATGGCTCTTTTAGAATGTGTTATCCTTTTCTTAAAGCATGGCTCTTTATTTTACTAAAATGTATGTAGGATTATGCTTAGGTAGAAGCTAATTTTCAGTTGGGTATTGGTATAGCATAACCAGCTGGATTTCTCATCGATTCTGTTCCTGACTATGAAAATTTTGATTTGATGATAGCATAATCTGGACAAGCGGTTCACGCGTGCTCAAGCGGTTTACCTTGTCTTCTTCCATCATCAAGGTAATTGCGATAAGAAGTTTGACACTTGGTCTTCTATGTTTTAAATTCGTGGACTCTTGTTTGTGACAATGCTTGAGTAAATAAAAATCTAGCTATCTCTCAACCATGCATTCTGTTGTAGTGGGGGATACGTTAGATTCTTTGTGTTTTGGTGAAGCTATTCTGTTGGTTCCTCACTGAATTAGATAAAAGGCAGAACACTCTATTTTCCATTTGTTTGATGCGCGAGAATGACTGTCTAACTCGTAGCTTTTGTCTGCCATAGGCATGCTGGAGTCACCTGGGTCAAGGGGCAGAAGCTTTACTTTGTGTCTTACAAATTGGTTGTTTAACAATATACAACACATCAGGTAAGTATGGCTAGATACATCTGAATTATAATATTTCCTTCTTATCTTACTTCTTCATAAGACCTAATGGATTCTTATATGGTTTTGCTTCTGGCAAAAGAACGATCCCGTATTGTTGCTCATAGATGTTCCTTCTCTTCACCGTTCTTGATTCACTTGACATTGTGTAATTACGAGTGAAAATTTATGGAGTCGGAGGAGGATTAAGTGAAATAGATTTCATGCAGCTTTCTGTGCATTGATCATTTTTTTTTTAACGTTCTTGTATGTTGGTTAAGTTTAAGCGTTGTTAGTTAGTCTCTTCCTTTCCTCTGGCTCATGGAAATATATTGGTTATTATATTGGCTAGATCTGTATAATCAATGCTATTTTTCTCCTTTGTGAGGTTTCACAAGCTGATATATTTAC